GTCGTCCTCTCGAAGCTGAAATCCGGTCCCGATTTGCCAGCTTCGAGAGGGACATTACTGTAATCAATTCTGATTACGTCAACGAACTAGGTAGATGTACGTTAGACCACGTCTCGCGTAACGGGCTTCGCGATATCTCACGAAACACTGTTACGATACGACGCGCCTGGCATACATCTACCTTAGCCGAACGGACAAAATTTTGTGCCTAAGGTCGCTGCTTTGACTAGTTACCTCTACGGAAGATTTAAAAATATATATTGTTCAAGAGAAATGTTTTGGGCTTTTTGGTTTTGATTTTTTAAACAAGTCAATTTTTGAGCCAGAGGCCAAACTTCTTGATCGTCACTGGAGTAATAGATCGGGATATTACGGATGAATTGTATATTCTGTTAATTCTTTCAGTACTTCCTGGTTTTGTGATGCACCCAACGCCACTAGTGGGACGTTCCTCGGAGTGTAGCGTGCCTTGTGATACTGAAGGAAGTCATGTAGAAGCTGATACAGGAGAACCAACCGTGAGTAACTTGTTCCATGCTTTTTGACTCCTTTTCCCAAACGCATAGGGTATCACACATAGTACAACTCGACACCGAGGGGGAAATCACTTGGGTCCGTCCGTAGCGTACGGGCTATTTCTGGTATTTCTTCCTCCTGCCATTTCGGTTATTTCTCGCCTATTTCTGATTATTTCAGGGTATTTCGCGGTATTTCGAAGTATTCAGGGGTATTTCGCGACTATTTCACCGACTATTTCGCGTCTATTTCGGGTCTATTTCGCTCTATTTCGCCTTTATTTCGGACTTTTTCAGGGGAAGGTGTACGAAGTATTTCGCAAGTGACTTCCCCCTCGCTCGACACCTGAAACCTGTATACACGGAGTTCGTGGTGGCTTAGAATTAAACACGCAGTTCCCGCGGCCGCAGAACAGGCACAGAGTTCAGCAGGCCGCCGTATATCGTCGTAACACTGTTTTTTTGAAAGTTTCGAGTCATGAAGTTTGTTGGATAGAAAAAACAAAGGGCTGCCGATCAGCGGACACCGCATTTTGGTATCCATTAGTTCAAAAGTTATTCTGGTCTACAAGCCCGGTTGCCGACAAGGCGCAATATAAATCGAAAAGGGCTATATCTCACAAGTGACATCCCAGCTCTTCCACCGTTATACGGTGACCCGCTGGACGACGTATCTATACGCTGCTTCCTGGAACTGCGGGTTTATACGGAGACGCAACGTACTCTGGAAAACCAAAGTGTGTACAAGAATGCAGTAAATGCTGCGTACTTGTTGGGATGCAGTAAATAGTGCGTTATTAGCTATAGGGTTTTCCGGGTAAGCTTGGCATCGGAAAGGGGAGGCGACGATGGTGCTGGTTCGCTCTCAGCCTCATGGCTTCTGTATCCGTGCGTCTGCTGTCCATTGCTCTGCCGCGTTTGTAAGCTACGACATCTTGCTTCAGATTATTGTGATTGCATGTATTATGCCAGCGAAAGTGTTTTGAATGATATTCTCACTCTAAGAATCGATATAGAAATCCACACCACCACCTAACCTAACGCCATCGCGCAGTTGACATCAGACGACCGGATCTAGAAGCCGGGAGGCTGAGATTCGGCCAGAGCTATCCCCTCACCTCTCGTTTCCGGCGCTTCGCTTGTCCGGAATACCCTATTTATTCATTATTTTTTGAGTACATGCTTGCGTGTAAAGGAAATGCATGAGCAGGTTCACAGATAAAAGGGGATACCTCAGTCTTTGCCACTGTATTAATACGGGAAATAATAAATATTATTGAGAGGTGGCTGGCTATACTAAATACGTTTAAAAACTAGCTGTATGTACGCCAGACCACGTCTCGTGGAACATGCTCCGCGATATCTCACGAAACACTGTTACGCTGCGACGCGCCTAGCGCAGAGATAGCTTGGCGCTGATACCCGAGACGAGTTAATATGAGTGTATACGCAAATAGGACCTTCCGGCCCCCAAATTTGTCATGCTACCTGCATTTGTCGGGGACGTTTTACTCCGATAACAGGGAAATGAAACATCTGTTTTTCTATGTAGACACCCATTAAATGTTCTAATCTTGGCAGATTGCTATGTAGAAATCAATATTTTAGTGATAGTAGATAATCTACGAGGGGAAAATCACTTGCGAAATAGTTCGTACACCTTCCCCCGAAATAGTCCGAAATAAAGGCGAAATGGAGCGAAATAGACGCGAAATAAAGGCGAATTACCCCTGAAATACTCCGAAATACCGCGAAATACCCTGAAATAATCCGAAATAGGCGAGAAATAGCCGAAATGGCAGGAGGTATACCCGAGAAATACCAGAAATAGCCCGTACGCTACGGACCCAAGTGATTTCCTCCTCGATAATCTAGGGACCCTTGAGCCCTTAAAAAAGGGTGTGGTTGAAATAATTCTCTTCCGCTCAACCAAGTCGCCAGCTCCGCTTCGCTCTACCGGCAACTTGGTTCGGCAGTGAGCGGGCCTAGCATGGCTTGCCAAGCTAGGTCGGCTCCCTGCTGAACCAAGTTGCCGGTAGAGTGAAGTGGAGCTGGCGACTTGGTTTGGTGGAACAGCGGGCATAGCTTGTTCTTTGATACCCCTCCTCACCCCCTTACGATAATTTCTAGGACTTTCCGTAGGCGCACGTGAAAATAGAATTAGTTCTCACAACTATCATATTGGCTTATTTTGGGATAGCTAATCCCAAATTTGATGTGGCAGCTAATAGTTGGTTGCTACAGGTGAGAGTTGGTTACGTGTCACAGCGAAGTTGTCGCTGCAGGAGCCAATCGGTTCGATCTGACAACTAATATACCGTTTCGGTTTTGCTGACAAAAAGAAGAAGAGAATAATCGATGCAGGAAACAATTGGGCGAGGAGTGAAGAAGGGCGGAGGGTGGGGGGCGATTAGAAGGCAGTGCTTTTCCGTTTTGTTATAGATTCACCCGAGCGCTTTTCGATCTCTCGAAGTACAAAATACCGGAAGTCAGGGTAAAGTGTCTCACGAAATAGAGGTTTGTTGTCAGTGCAACCGACAATCCTCCGGCCTAAATTTAGTCGAAACTATATTCTTACGGCAAACATTGCTTCAATCTTACGTGTTTAACAGCTAGGAACGTTTCATATACTGCCTGACTTCCGGTATTTTTGTTCTTCGAGAGGTCGAAAAGCGCTCGGGTGAAATGGTCTATTCTTTTCTTCGTCTGATCACCTAACCATGAAATGGTCTATTAGGTGTTCCGCTGTCAGAACGAACCGATTGGCTCCTGCAGCGACAGCTACAGCGTCGCTGTGGCAACTAACTTACGTGTGTGGAACCAAATGACTAGTCTATCCCAAAACTCCCTAATTTATTAGTTGTGACAGTTAATTATTTTTTCTCCGTGCGTTTCGTTCTCAAGGAGTAAACCTAAAGATACCCTAAAAGTTTCCAGTCTCAAGTACATCTCCTTTTAGAAGACAGACACCATGTTGTTTGCATAAGCAAGCACGCTCAATAGCGTTTTCTAAGCAAAAGGGTGAGCTTAAAATCACAATTCTACGGCCAAAAGACAACATGTCGCTTATTTTCTAAACCACCCATATTTTCAGTGGGGCCCCTGGTGCCGGTTGCCTGAGGTGGTGCTCACTCAGGTGATGTCATTGCTGAGGAACCAGGACGTCATTTCGGTTGGACAAACCTGCCGTTCGTGGAGGTCAGCAGCCCGCCACGAAAATGTGTGGAGAACTCGGACGGTGGAGTACCAACTAACCGAAGGGGAGTAAGTTGCACTCAAATGCGGTATTTCTTAGTCCTTAATTTATTTCTGATCCTGTTTACGTGGGAATGTCTCTCTGTCTTAGAGCGACTGAACCTATTTCGGATCAGATTTTCGTTTTTCCTCGCTGTGCCGCAACACGCGAGTGGTAGAACCGCCACGACTGGAGGTAATGATAGTCGATTTCTTCCTTTACAATTCGCATATTTTT